TGCTGAGGGAGGGGACTGAGAGAGGACTCTGCCCCTCAGTTCCCAGGTCAGCGTGGCGGGGGGCCGGCTCTCAGCAGCACAGAGGAGCTGCAGGAGCTGGCCTTTCTCGGCTTCCACGTGTGGGTTGTTTTCCTGGCTCTCCTGAACTGGAGAGAGAGACACACACACACAGAGGATGAGAGAGAAGGGCTGTAGGAAGAGACCCCCCCATGCCTTTGCCAGGGCCTGGCTCTGTCCCACCCCAAAGACCCTCAGTACCTGACCCGTTGTCGTGGAAAATGCTGATCACAGGGTGTTTGGGGGCATCTGCAACAAGATTGAGGGCTGACTTCCGCGGAGAATGTTTTGCTCCCCACCACAAGAACTCCTCCTAACACCGCCCCTCACAAGGCCCCGATGGCGCCAGGGCTGTGCACCCTCCTCTGCATGGGTCTCTCGGATGCGGATCCCTGCACCCTGGGGCTGTGTGCACCCTGGGAGCCCACGGCACACTCACAGGCCACGCTCAGCCTGACCGTCCTCTGAGTGTTCAGGCCCCTGCTGAAGTCCACTCGGCAGGTGAGCGCAGAGTCTTGATCCTGGGGCCCGGGGGTGAAGCTGAGTATGGAGTAGGGGGCGCCTGGTGCCCTGGTCCCTTCAGAGGTCAGGGTGGGCCCTTCCCAGGAGAAGATTGGGGCTGGACACTGCTCAGAGCTCCAGTTGAACACGCAGAGCACTGTCACAGGCTGCCCAGGGTCCAAGGTCTCAGGAATGAAGACATCTGGTTTCTGAGTCAGGTCTGGGAGAAATGGAGCCACCTTAGTGGATCTCTAGGTCTGCCCTGCTCAGCCCTGGGTTATCCCCTTGGTCCCTCCCTGATGCGACAGGCAGGGTGTCTCCTCCACACTAAATACCTGTCACTCTCAGCAAGAACTTGTTATCCTTGAAATTATATTTCACCTGGTTTCCCTTCTCCACCCGGAAGAAGTACAGACCCCAGTCCTTCCGCTGTACATCTCTGATCAGCAGGGCGCAGTCCTTTTTGCGGAGATCCCCCACGAGCTGGAATTGGCCCTCGGTGTTCTGTAGCAGATTTCTGCTTGGGTTGTTTGTGGCCACTGGATCTCCATTTTCTGTGTGGGTTCCTTCTTTGAACCAGTAGCCATAAACTGGGTGTGGGTTCCAGGGTTCCTTGGGGTAGGAGAAGGAGCAGGGCACAAGGACGCACAGGCCTTCCTGCACCGTCACCGACTCCTCCACCTTCAGCCAGTAATCCTTCTGCTGAGCCTGCGACCCTGAGGGAGGCAGAGGCTCAGCCTGCAGCCCCATCCAGCCCCACCGGGGTCCCACGGCTCTCGGCCCACTCACCGTCCATCAGCGAGGACATCAGGGATAGCAGGAGCAGCATGGTCTTAGGAGGCACCTGGACCACCCGAGATGAGCTCATTCTGCAGTTGTGCTGTGGCTGATTACAGCTAGACAGAAGGGGAAGCAGAGACGGAAGCTGAGCCCCGGGGGCTGAGCCATGAATTGAACAGCTGACTCGAAGCCCCGGGCTGAGGACTTGCTGCCCCCTTCTGTCCACTCCCCGCCCACCTGGCCCACCTGTCCTCCGCGTCCTGTGGTGGGTGGAGCTTCCAGGGCTGTGGGCATGCAGAGTTGCTCTCTTCCCTGCCACCCCTGGGGGAGGGATGGAAGCGAGGACCTGTGTCTGGTTCCTTGGGGCCTGGCCGTGGTGGGGGAGGGCAGCTGGGAAGGTCCCGATGTGCCTGGGTCACCGCGAAGCGGAAGTGAAAGTCCACAGAGCACTTGTTCTGGGGGTCCCTGTGGGGGTGGGGGTGGGGGTGAGGGAGGGAGGGCTGCGGGAGGAGCTGGTCCCATTAGAGAAGGAGGCAGGCGAAGTTGGATTTCAGGTTTAAAAAATGAATGCCCTTGTTTGCGTGGTATAAGAATGTCTGAAGTATTCGATGGCACCTACCCATGTTAATATTTTTTGTTTTATTAGGAATTCAAATTTATCTAAATGCCTTGCTTCTTTTTTGAAATCATTCTAAAGCTGGCAACTGTAGAGTGGGGTGGGTCTCTACCCCACCCCTTCGTCTTCTGTGGTGAGGCGGTGCCCTTTAGTTCCCTCGACGCTCTGCCCCGCCCCCTCTGCCTTTGGACAGTTGGTGTCTTCCTGGTGACACCTGCTGTGGCTTGAACCCCCTGGCCTACAGCTGGCAGTGGGAAGGGCAGGGGTGTGCCACGCAAGCAGGAGGAACAAACTCCCCACAGTGTTGCCCCCTCACCCGGCCCTTTCAGAGCAGATGCTGGGTCAGGTAGAGACCCAGTGCTCAGCCACTCAACCTCCACGCACCTGTGTGCCAGGCACTGGGCCGTCCGCAGGGGACACAGAACTTAATCCCACCAGGGGTCTCATCTCAAGAACACCTGCTTTGATAAGTCAAGATTCTTAGGAACAGAAAAGCACTAAGGTGCTCACAGGTGCCCCAGGCGCTGGGGCAGGCAGTCATAGTGGTTCCTGGAATGGGGTGGTCAGTCCTTTCTACTGGAGGGAAGTCAGGACAGATCACGGGCAAGAAGTGACCTTTAGCTGTCCCTGCTGCCCCTTGATTTGGTTCTCAGCACCACAGGGTCAGTTTGCTCAAGCTGATGATACAGAGAACAGTCCACTGTCAGAATCTGTGGGTTCTGTGTCCATGGATTCCACTGACCATGGGTTAGAAGCACTAAAAAAATTGCGTCTATCCTGAGCATGCACAAATGTTTTGGCCGTATCTTTATTCCCTAGAGAAGAATAACTAAAGCTGGGTGTGATGGTGCGTGCCTATAATCCCAGCACGTGGGAGGCTGAGGAAGGGGATTGCTGGAGTTCAAGGGCAGCCTGGACTTTATAGTGAGTTAAAGTTCAGCCTGAAGCACGTAGCGAGAACTTGTCTCAAAAAAAAAGAAGAACAAGAACCATTTCCATAGCACTTACATCATGCTAGGCGTTACGTGTCATCTGGGGGTGATTGAAGGTGTGTGGGTTTGCAGGTTGTACATAAGCACCATCACCCTGTACGGTATAAGGGACCTGGGCCTTCACAGGAACCAACCTGCAGGGGATACTGTACCCCAGAATGAGTGGAGGAGATAATGGAATCCTTGGCTATGAGAACCAGTGCCAAAGGTGGCATCGGCCCAAGGTTAGGTCCGCAGTTGTTGGGCAGATGTCTGGGCTGAGGAGGTTTCTGTGTAAGGTTTTAGTGGCCTCTGTGGGAAGCTGTGGTTCTGGCAGCTTCTGTGAAGTCCTTGTCATTGGCCCCACAGGACTCCCCCTGCTTTGTAGTGTCTCAGGTTTACTTGTTCATGTAGTTTTGATAGGCTGTGACACAAGAGAGTCCGTTTTGGTTCTGACACCTTTTTTTGGTGTTGAGAGGCTGCAAACTCCAGTAGCCAGTGAGGACAGCTTGGGTTGGTGTCGTCGGCTGAACTGGAACAGGGCCAGCTTGAGAGGGAGGGGTGGAAAGAGAGTGGATGGGGACCCTTCAGTGACCCTGCTGTGGCTTAGCCCGAGCTTCTAGAGATGGTTCTGAGACCACCAGCCCCTCCCCTTTACTCTGCAAGGAGCAGAGTTCTCCCAGATAAATGTCTCTACACCATATCTTTCTTCATTTACTCTCCACCCCGGCCCAATTTTGCTTCCCATTCCTACCAAGTCACTCAAATGATTCCACGAAGATCCTCAAAACCTCCAAACTGCTGAAACCCACAGACAATTTCCATTTTCACCAGCCTAGGGTGCCTCCCTCTCAGAAGCCCTGGGCAGGCTCAGCCCCTCATCTCTCAGGAATGGCTTCGGAGTACCAGGTCACCTGGAGATGCCCTCCTGCACTAGGCTGGGGCCCCGCCCACATGTGTACGGGGAGGCACCTGTGGGTGCCCTTTCTGCATGAAGCGTAGAGGAGGCCTCACACCATGGCTTCCCTCCTGCCTTCTAGACCCTGTCTCATCTCCTTCAATGGTTCCTCTTTAGCCTTGACACTGAAATGTCGAAATGCATCAGGATCCTCTCCCTACATGTCCTGTTTCATCTGAGGCTTGAAAACATGAGCTGTCCGTTTTCTGCTCTGACATACATGCGGTGCTAGACCTGTATCAGATGCTACCATTGAGGAAGGCTGGGGGAACCTCGCACTATATTTCTTCCCAACTGCCTATGAATGTATGATGGCATTCAAAAAGAAAAAAAAAAAGAAAAACAAAGCAAAATAAATCATCACAAAACACACAACAACAAAGACACATGCTGATGGCTCATGAAATTTCACTTTAACCCTCACCGTTCCCCGCCGAGTTGACATCTACTCAGGGGTATAGAATGGGTATCACTCAATCGTTACCATGGCAAACTCCTTTGCAGACATCTGAACATTATTGTGATGTGTCAACCTCTGCCCAACCCGTGCACCTTCTCATGTCTGCTTTTGCCTCATTCCCATCTGCAATGCATCCGCACTCCCTGTCAGTTCAACTGGTAAAGCATTTAAATTTGACCTAACAGCAATCACGGCAAACACTGTAGAAGTTTCCTCTCCTCCCCACTAAACAGAAGAGTTACCCGCACTCTCGTGTTTTGACAATACTATTCATAATAACCAAGATAGAGGATTAAACTAGATGCTTGTCAGTGGATGACTGGTTAAAGTGAACACAGTGTATGTCCACCGTGGAATTCTGTTCACCCACAAAATATTGAAATCCTGTTATATGTGGCAAAAATGAGTGAACTAGAGGACAAACTGTTAAGTGAAATGAACCAGACAAAGAAAAATACTGCATATTCTCCCTTATGTATGGAAGGTAAAAAATGGTGATCATGTGATTCGGAGGGAGTAGGAAGGGTGGGCAGGCGAGGGGGCAGAGGAATATGGGTAATGCATGCCAACACATATTAAGCAGGAGAGGTATGTTCTAGTGTTCTACAGCACAGAGCAGAATCTTCAGTTTACAACAACCAGTTGTATATTTTATGACGAACTAGAAAAGAAGAGCTCAGAAGGCCCAAAATGAAGATATGATTAGATTATGGAAATGCTCATTAACCTGTTTTGATTATTCCACATTGTACATGTGTACTGAACAATCCTACTCGATCCCATACATATGTGCAATTATTATATGACATAAAAAAATATCCATCCATGAATCCCTCTGCAGCGTTGCTCAGTATCACACTCCTGACATTCGCAGTCAGATGCCTCTGGGGTGGGGGCTCCCTGTGCGCCCTTGGTACCGAGCAGCACCCCAACCTTAGCTCACTAGATGCCAGTAGCATCCCCTTCCATCCTGATGGTGACAACTAAAAATGTCTGCAGGTATTTTTATTGCCTGGTGTCTCCCAGCCAGCCCCCCATGCAGCTGAATGACAGCAGACACTCCTCCCTGCTCCCTCTTCAGCTTTTCAATACAGCAGCCAGAGTTGTTTTAGAAATGTGCACCACACCAAGGCCCTCTTCACTCAAGCATTTCCTCAGCCCCTCGTTTTATTTAGAGGAAAGCTCAAACTGCTTGCTGCACCTGCACGGCTCTGAAGGATGAGGCCTGCTGGCCTCTGCTAACTCATCTGTGTCCACTCTGCCTTTGCCTTCCCTGCTTCTCACACCGCCCACCTCTGTTCCTCTCCAGGAACGTGACGTTCACAGTGCTCTCTTCCAGAGAGGCTCTGCTCCAGGTGGCCCCTTCTAACTGCATTGCGCTCTAAGCCACCTCCTCAGACCTGCCTTTTCTAATCTCATAAACCAACTTCCTCTTTCCCTGTCTGAAATATCTGTGGTTTCTCTGGCCTCCTCAGAACTTTCCACCTCCCTCTGTTGTGACCAGACCACCTCCTACCACCTCTCACTTTCTAGCTGCATCTCAGACCAGCTGTCCCTCCCACCCGTGGTCACATGAGACACTGGAGGACACCAGAGGCTATGGCAGTCTTTCCAGGTAAATCTCACTTCCGTCTCCTCTGCTGAGAATATTCAGCTTTCCCCCAAACTTAGTCCTTTGAAAGCCACGCCTGCATGTTTCCATCTTGTTTTGTGCAGCAGGTGCCACATATTTGCTTATCCCCTCTTAATTTCACGCTGAGAAACCTCAGAAAGGAGTAGGCCTTGTTCAAGAACTCCAGAGCTCCTGGATGGGCTGTGTGGTGTGGGCCCAAGGACTGAGGTCAGGAGGAAGTGACAGGGATACAGGGACGGGGAAGCCCTAGGATGGTGTACCAGTCAGTGTTTACTAGAGAAACAGATATAACACATGAAGTACAAATGTATAAGAAATTACAAGATTGGCTTATGATGGTCAGCCACAGAGTAGGATGAGGAAGCGTGCAGAGGGTGTCTGCACACTGGAGACAGAAGGAATCAGTCCCAGGTTTGGAGTTCAATGCAGTGCCCATGCAAGTCTGTATCAGGAGGCCAAAGGCTCTACACTGAAGAGTCTACAACGGAAGCCTGAAGGATCTGTGGTGGAAGCCGAAGTTTCTGCACTGGAAGCCAGGAGATGATGTCCAAGCTGAATGTGAAGACTAGCTCCTCTGAAGAATGGAAGCCCCTCTGTCCTTTCTCATTTCCCTTTCCTGCCATTCAGGTGATAAGCTGCGCTATGGGGGGGGGTCCTCTACACGCCAGGGTGTAGAATTGCTGAGCCGATTTAGTTAAGCTTCTAAGCTTCTTGAGTTGACACAGTCAATCAACC